TACCAGTCCTTCATCACCTTACACGAAATAGGGTGAATACATCTCATTACATATATCTTCTACATCTGTCCTCTTTGATCAAGTATAAAGTGGTTTGGTTACTTACAGTCATCGTCACAACCAAATTCAAGCTAACGAGTTAAGTAGACTATATATACCACTTTTTAGGGATTTGCCAGTGAATTTTCTTGACTCGTTAGCTTGAATTTTGTTGTGATGATGTTATCTCGCTCTGATAATGTCACCTTTTCACCGAAATCGAAGGAGATTGCCTCGGAAACAGCGTCAGCATGAATCTTCCAATAAAGTTAATTGACAGCTGGTCAAGAGGAATCGGCCCTCGTCTTCTGGTGGTAGCGACCTTCGAATCTCTTCACGCAACACTTCTACTCGAAATGGAAGTAAGCTCAACAATTCCTATCGAGGCCGAAAACCGGCTGCATGAAGATGGTGTTCGAATAGGCAAATCTTCCAACCTTGAATGGAGGGGTTTCTAGTAAATTCACCCACCGTCCGAACGACATAAGCCCACATTTGATGCTTGAACTTGGAGGTGAATTGTGTCGAATTGCCTGTAAATGCAAAATGCTAAACAACAACACTCTTCATCCCCAATTTAAGGTGTGGGGCGTGAAATCCTGGCCATGTGAAATTGTCCAGTCATGCGAGTCTAGTCCAAGTCTGCCTCAACCGCTTGACTTGGCTCAGCTCTGAGCAGATGGTCGTTCCGATTCCACAAGAAGTCGCTTCACCGACGTTACAGAGGCATTGCTACGTTGTATGGACATTTGGCCAACAGAATGGGGGGGGGTGGCTCCAGTACGAGGTGTTCCGTTGAATCGTAAGAGCTGATCTGTGGTCTGTAAAGCAACGAGGCATCTGGACCCATCCGTGGCGACTGTCATCACATTCCAGTCGGAGGAGTGTTTCATCAAAAGACCGGCTTTCCATGACACCAAAAGCGATGCCTCGCAGAGCCAAAAGGGGGGGGGGCTGAACAGAGCAGATCTAAAGTCAGTTGCTGGTGACTTTCGACGGTCGGCAGACCGCGTGATACAGCCTCTTTTTCGTCCCGTCAACATGCCTCGGCTGTGAAGTGGGAAACTGGGGTACAGGCTCGGAGAGCCGAAACAATGCCACAGCAGAACTGAGGAGTCTAATTCTCGAAATGAATGGCTTTCGAGGCTATCAGTAAAGCTTGAATAAAGACGTGTACGAAGAATTGCGCGTCTCAAACAATCTTCCGAGATAAGATTGTTGCAAAGAGTTTCAGTTCGTGTAAAAGTGCGTCTTCCTTTTGGGAGATTGACCTACGAATCTGTTCATCATCGAAACTGAGCCAGCCTAACTGGCGGAAGGTGATTGCAAGACCGACAGTCAGTATATCCCACAACGACAGCAGTTTACCGAACTATTCAACCAAGTAGAGTACGCCTTGTGGACATAATTGCATCCGGGAACCATGGCAACTGTCCGTTTATTTGCAAAGTGCAGACCAAGTAATTTGTTTACGGTTGAGGGAGGTGCTGCATAATGATTGGCTTTGATGGATCCAGATTAGGAGAGAGAGAGATTAAATGAAATGGAGGGAAAATAAGAGCTCAAAAGAAAAGGATAAAAGAAGTGGCCGTGGCTCCCCCAGAGAAGAATGATACAGCAACTATCGAGTTACATTTTGGAGAGAAAAAAATCCACTGCAGAGGAAGAACGGGCAAATGGGGAAGGGAAGAACATCAAAGGCGGCTTCGGAGTAGAAAGCAGGAAGGAGGAAGGAGTAGGGCAAGAGCAAAGTTTTGCTTCTGCTCTGTCAAATGGCCACCACCACATGCTGCCGGAATCTAGGCTACTCACCAGTTCTTGATCGTTCATCGATGACCAGTTGCCTAGGCTGGCCGGCAGAGCGCAGGTTGTTCGTTTTTGCGCTGACATCGTCTAAATCAAGGGAAAGGCATTCTTCAACTTGTCAGTCATGAATGAATACATAAATACATAAATACATAAATACATATATTTGGGTATAAAATAAACTGGTATTGCAAAACTATTCTCTCTACATGCACCTAAAACAAAGCAAAGTAGCACATCGGATAACATTGCAAGTCCAAGTCTGGCCAGATGCGTTGACGAGATGGCTCGATTCGCTCTTGGCTCCTGCGATCTCCCATAC